CTCTCCATGAGACACACAGACAGGGAGAGAAGCTGGGGGTCAGAGCGCAGGGTCAGCCATTGTACAGCGCTCCTGGAGCAGCTGGGGTGAAGGGCCTTGCTCAGGGGCCCAGCGGAGTAGGATTCCTCTGTTGGCCACGGGATTTGAACCGGCAACCTTCCAGTCACAGGCGCAGATCCTGAGCCACAGAGCCACCGCTCCGCCCTAAACTATAAATATTAAAGATAAAATAAATATTGGCCTGCAGCACTCCCTTCTCTTTCAGATGCAATTTCACTTGTGCTGGAGAATGTATTTTTTTTACCGGATGTGCGGATTAGAAACGAGGATGTGTTCCTTCTGCAGTTTCCGGAGAGACCTGCAGTGGGTGCTGTTCAATAAGTATGTGCCATCGCTGATCCAGGATGGGCCACAGTGAGTATTCCTCGCCCCCGGCCTGGGTGGACATTCAGACATGAGTGTCTGGTCAGGGAGGTTTGGGTACGTTAAATATGCTGAATTATTTTGAGTTAGAAGAAAGAAATATTTAGCACTTGCACCACTCAGATCGTAGTCCGAATACCAGTGTGACAGAGGGGGGCGCTGTGCTGGTTGGCCGACTGCGATACTTTGCAGTCTGCGCTGGAGCAGAAGCAGTGTGTTAGTGACGAGGTGAGGTTTTGGGGGCGAACGTGCATTGGGGTGTCTCTTTCCGGGGTGACAGTGGGGGTTTGCCGCACAGGTGTGGGCTGGTGGCTCTGTGGATGGCCGGGCACCTCCTGCAGAGGCCCACACCCCTGCCTCTGGAGCAGATCGTGGCCCGAGCCCTGGGGAGAGGGTACACCGCCCAGGGAGAGATGTTCTCAGGTGAGCCGCCCCCTCGACTGACCCACAGTGTCCGTTCTCCCATTTCCTACCGTCCACTACTCTCGCAGCTGGACCGAAGGCTGTGAAAATGAGCAACTCTGATAGCGGAGGTGCGGTCCAACGGGGACACAACACTGTGCACGACACTGAGCAGACTCC